AGAGAGGGGGGGGTTTGCTGTTTTTTTAAATTGACTTGATCTCTGTGTATTCTAAAGAATGGCTGGTGCCTCCCTGTGCACTTCCAAGTCATCTTAGTCTGGCTGTGAGTGTGCGAGTGTGCAAGTGAATGCCCAGAAGTGAACCCCAGAGCATCCGCATAACACTTTCTTCCCCCCAAGGTGTGCTTCACACTTAGGATGCCTGGGCGCCAGCAGCAGCAGCGGCGGCCTGGGCCCTTCTCTGTTTCCCTTTGGGAAGTCCCATGATGGGTTGGCTCCCCCCACAACCCTCAACTTCTGCTTTCCATGCCCCCCTCCTGACCGGCCCTCAGCCACTCAGCTGCAGTTCCTTTCTCTCTGCCACTCCACACACACACACACAGACACACACATGCACACACACGCGCGCGCGCGCACACACACACACAGCGTGACCAGTGACCACCGATGTTTGAGAGAGTGACCTACGCTGACCTGCGGTTTGCAGGAAGAAAAGCTCTGGAGAAAGGCCGTGGGGAAGGTAGGAGGCAGCCAGGCCGGCCCTCCCAGGGCTGCCCCCCCTGCCTCCTCCCCCCTGACCCCTGCTTGTCTTCCAGAGCCGGAGGAGGGGGAGCTCACCTATGAGAACCTCCAGGGGCCTGGGACGCAGGAGGAGCCCCGCAGAAGTGGCCCGGGGGCCGAAGGTGAGTGCCAGTCCCTCAGTGTTTGGTCCCCTGGGCCCTGGGGCTCTGCTCGGTGCTCGGCCCCATTTCCTGTCCCTCCCCAGGAGAACCAGGCAGAGCAAGGGGTGCCTCCGTCCACACAGGCCCTCCTTCACCCGGGGGCTTCCCTGGTGCCCAGTCTCTAACCTGGGGGGCTCCAAAGGAGGCCGAAGAGCCCAGACACCCCAGTTCCCTCCCTGCTGTTTGCCCCTTTCACCCCCCCCCAGCCCGGCTCCCTCCAAGGACCCCCTGCTCTTCCCCACAGGCCAGGGTCTTCCTCGGGAGGCCCCCCTGAGGGCGGAGGGGCCTGCAGGGGCCCAGGGGATCGAGCCTGCTGCCAGGAGACGGAGCGCCCTGGTCTCGGGGCACCAGGGCAGTGCAGGTGGGCATGAAAGGGGGGCATGAAAGGGGGCATCCCCCCATCCTTTCTCAGGGTGTCCTGAGCGGCGTGTTTCTCTCCAGGGTGGAGTCCCCGGACCAGGTGGGCCGCCTTGGGAGTGCTGGGCATCGGCCTCTTTCTTCTCTCCGTCACCATCAGCCTCGGGGTGCGATGTGAGTCCTGGAGGCCTTGACCCTCCCCTGGCAGCTTCCTTGGGGAAATGTGCGGTGCCAGCTGAGGATGGCACAGATTTCTTTCCCCTGAACTTTGCACTGGCATCTCCTGAGCTCAGAGCAGGCTCCCCACCTGCCCCGGGATCGGTCCCCTCCCTCCCTCCGCCCCCCACGCTCTGGTTCCTCAACTGCCCCCTCTCTCCAGACACCCAGGCCTCCCAGCAGCTCCAGCAGGCGTCCCAAGACCACGCGGCTGAGCACCACGCCCTGCAAGCCGGCCTGGAGGAGAGCCGGCACCTGCTGGGCCTGGCCAAGCAGGAGCTCCACTCCACCAAGGAGGAGCTCAACTCCACCATGGTGGCCCTTTGGCAGAGCCGGGCAGCCGGGAACCGGACCCAGCAGCAGCTGCAGCACCAGGAGCTCCTGGTGGGCCAAGCCAACCACAGCCTGGCTCTCCTGCGGAGGGAGCGGGCGAGCCTGATGGCCAACCTCAGCCAGGCCTCCTCCTGCCAGCAAATTGGTGCGTTCCTGGTCCAGCTCCTCTTGGGACCCTGTGGGGGCAAGGGGGAAGGGTCTCTGCGGCTCTTTTCTGGCTGCTTCAGGTTTTCATGTGAGAAGGAAAGGAGAGGAAGGCCACCGAGAGAGGCCTCCCCCTGCCAGCCACAGCTGGGCTCTCCTGCAGCCCATCGGGGGGAAAACCCAGACCGTCTGGGGGGGGCGGGAGAAGTGGTGAGACCTCTGCGCAAGGGGGTAGGCAAATATTTCACAGGGGGAAGGAAGTGCTTTGGTGGGGGCAGCAGTGCTGCCAAGTGGGTGAGGCTGCACATGCTCTCTCTCTCTCTCTCTCTCTCTCTCTCTCTCTCTCTGAGGTTTTTCTTTGAAGAGTCTCCTATTTAGATGTACAGTATTATGTGACTGCTTTTATGTCTTTCTTGCCTGCCAACATTGGAAGGAGCTTGTTCCAGTCCAATGTGTTGGCCAAAGCAGAGATCCTTCCTGAGAAACAGCTGCTCAGTATGTCTGCAAAGACACCCCTCCCCCCGTGATGGAGCCCCCCAACCCCACCTGCGCAGAGCTCTCACAGTCAGGAAATGCCTCCCTGTCCCGAGTTCAGCTCTCCCTCTGCCTGGTGTCCCGCGGCCATTCAGGCATCCTCAGGCTCTCCTCTCGCACGACCTCCAGCCCTTCGCCCTTTCTGGTCTCCATAACAGTCCAGTCTTGGGTGGCCTCTTTTCCTGGGAGCGAGACCTACAGGCCAGGCTGAGCCCCCTCCCCGAACCTCCCGTTGAGCCTGCCGGCTGGGGCTCCGCTCTGTGCCAGGCTAAAGAGGGACTGGGTGAAGACAGGAGGCTGCTGGTGGAGCCTCTTTCCCTGGGGAGGGACGGAGAATGGCCAACCTTGGGAAGCCCAAGCCGGGATCCCCCTTGGCTGCTACCCGCTACCCGACTTGCTCCAGCCGTCTTGTGGTTGAGGTTGGGGCAGAAAAGGGGGCCCCTGACGCAGTTCTTTACTTGCAGCTGGCCGCAGCTTGTGGGAATCGGCCTCTTCGGGTAGTTTGAGGTGTTGGTCTTAACTCTGGGGCTGGTGAGGCACCTTGAGAGCCCTGGTGGCACAGAGTGCAGCATTGCAGGCAATGCCCACAGCCTGCAGTTCGATCCTGTCGGGGCTCCAGGTTGACTCAGCCTTCCGTCCTTCTGAGGTGGGTAAAGTGAGGAGCCAGATGGTTGGGGGCAACAGGCTGCCAACCGCTTAGAGAGGGGTGTAGAAGCCCCGTGAGGTCTAAGGGCTCTTCTTACCTTTACGGCTTCCGTTTGCAGAGCCCTCCGCATCCCCTCTCAAAGCCAGCCTGGACGACGGCTGACCCTCTGCTGCAGGGGACCCAGCGCCCACCAAAGCGGCCAGGCTCCTCCCTGCTCTCTGCAGGAATCTCCGCCTCTCCTTGTCCCTCCTTGCCTCCTCTTGTCTGGCCAGCCTTCCTCCGCTGTGCACCCTCCTTGTAGGGGGCTATGGGGGGGGGTCTGAGGGAGGCAGGGAAGCCTGTGAGGAACCAGGCATTCTGTCCACTGGTCAGCCGGCTTCCAAGCGGCCTTTGGGTTGCAAGACGACTCTGTGGTCACCCCCAAGGAGCCCCCCCAGCCTTGCAGGGAAGGGAGGAATGATGCCCTCTCGAAAGATGGCAAGCGGTTTGCCCACCCTGGCACCATCCTTTCCCTGGGAAGGAGAAGGGGCTCCTGGCTGGTGGGCCAAGGGGAGCCGCTGGAGAGGTGCCTCTGTGGCCATGCAGGGGTCCTCACCAAGCAGGGGGATGGGCACCCATGGCTGGGGCTCCGCCCACAAGGACCGGGGGGGGGCCACAGAGATGTTCCCCCAGGGTGGGAGGAGAGGAGGAGGATGAGCCAGGGACAGAGAAAATGGGTCCCTTCTGAAAACAGTCCAAGACCTGAAGTCCCGTCTCCAGGAACGGCAGCTGCTGTGCTTCTCCACCACCTCTGGCAGGGCAGCAGGGTGGGCAGCGTCCCCTGAAAGCTGCTGCAAAGCAACATCTCAGGAGCTATGGGCTCATTTCTGTACCTGGCCCAATGCTGGAGGCCAAGAATCCCCTTCCAGGGAAGCCCCTCCCCAGAAGGTGGGGTGCAGGAAGGAAGAGCAGGGTCTCCATGGAAGGCCAGAGACCTCCGGCTGTGATGGCTGGGGGAGCCGCTTCTGGGTTGGTCCAGCCAGGAGCAAAGGCCTCTGCACTAGACCAGAGCGACGTTCCTCTGGCCTCCGGCCTCTTTTCCAGGCTGCTGCCCCCCGGGATGGAGGCTCTTTAGGTGGAAGTGTCTGCGGATTGATCATACACCACAGTCTTGGGATGAGAGCCAATGGGACTGCAAAGATGCTTCCTCTCAGCTGCTTATCCTGAAGAAACCCTGGGATGCTCACGAGGTCTGGCCCTCTGCGGTGAGTACCAAAGGCTCCCTGGGCAGCCAGCGGTCCAAACCAGAGGGGAGATCAGGGGGTTTCACCAAACCGCACACCCGGACCCCCCTTCCTTCAATACATAGAAGATAAAGATAGTAGATGAGATAGATAGATTGGTTAGATAGTTTGTTTGTTTTATTGTCATTGCACCTCATATAATTAGATTGATAGATGAGATTGATGAGATGATAGATAGATAGATAGGATACAGAATAACAAAGGGGCTTTGTAGATCATCTAGTCCAACCCCCCACCCAAGTAGAAGACCCTACACCATTTCTGACATGGCAGACAGACAGACAGACGATACCTGAGATAGATTCATTAGATAGATAGATAGATACCATGTTTTCCCCAAAATACGACCTACCTCAAAAACAAGCCCTAACTTGATTTTCATGCCCGGGCCCAATATAAGCCCCACCCTGAAAGTAAGCCCCAATTAAGCCCCACCGACCACTTGATTGTGCGAGGTGGGGTGAGGCACAGGCATAAAAATCCAGCTAGGGGGCGGTGGGGAGGGGAGCAAGGAAAGAAGGTGCAGCAGAGCCTGGCTTCTTTCTCTCCCCAAACTCTGCCAGAAATGGGTCTTTGCGAGGTTTGTCGCGCTGGTGCAGCCGTTAGCAGCAGGACGCCACAAGGCTCATCATGCACAGCCGTGAGGTTTGTTGTGCCATTGTGTGGCTAACTGGTATCCCCCCCGAAGGTCACAAGGCAGCCCCCGAGGCAGCCAGTTGGAGAGAACTCTTGGTTCCGTCCCTCTGTCCTGGGACTGGTAGACCAGCCCATGCTTGGCCCAATCTCTCAGCTGAGCCGCCAAAACCTTGGCTGTGCTCTGCCTCTGGCCCAGCCTTAGGGAGTGGATACCGGTTTCTGCATGCCAGGCTGCTGTGGGGTTTTTGAATCTGTCTCGCAATGCCGGCACGAAAGCATGCAGGCCTTGCAGCTCCAGAGCCCCCTCGTCCTGGAGGGACCCCAGCTATCCCGCTGTGTCCCCCTCCAGGTTGGGTGTAACGGCACTGACCTGGGCACTCATCTGGGTGCATCCCTCCATGGCGCTCCAGTAGTTCCAGACCCGGGTCAGGGAGTAAGCCACGGTGTCGGGTCGCCCATTGAACCAGACTGCTGGGGGAGGTGGCGGTCAGTCCTTTCACACTAGGCCGCATCCAGGGGGCAGCCCCACTGCAGCCAGGGGTGCTTACACGGGATCCACTGTCTCTCGGTGGGGTTGGCACCATCGGCCGCAGGAGGAGAGGAGATGGGGTAGGCAGAGGTTTTTTGGTGCCCACCTCGACACCCATGACCACTGGCCTTGGGGTGGGGGTGGCTCCCCAGACCTCCAGCCTGCCAAACCTCTCCCTCAGCTGCTCCATCGACAGTCTGCGAGCTGCAGCTGGGAACGTCCACTCAGCTGAGTCATGCCACTCGGCCGCTCATCTAGCCTTCCCCTGGCTCCCCCAATTTACCACGACTCCAGGGGAGACCAGCTGATCCTCTGCTTCTGCCACCTTCCCCACCTGGCTCGCCCACAGGCCCTTGGGGCCCAAGTAGGGTCCTTCCGTCTCTCTCTTTCCCCCTTTGAGTGCAGGCTGTTGCTCCAGGTTCTCAGCCCTCTGTTCGGGGTGTGTGTGTGTGTGCTGGCCGCTTGCATCCCAGCTTCGGCTTGGACAGGGTCTCTGGAGAGGTGGCTTCCCCTGACTTCGCCCTCCCCTCCTGCTTTTTTGTCAGTTGCCAACCTCTCAAAACTACCCACCTCCTGGTGGGGTCCAGGTAGGTGGCTACATGGAGGGCTGGTTCAATGTCAACTGTCCAGTTGGCGAATCCAGAAAAAGAAGCTCCACATTGGCCCAGAAGAAGTGAAACCAGTTCTGGGATTCCCGCAGAGAAACAAGCCCAGTTCATTCTGCCTTTCCCCACAGGCCACCCACAGCCCATTACGACCACCAGTCCCTTCTGTTCCTTTTGTTATGGGGACCAGCCAGCCTTGCTGGGACCTCTGCCCTGGGGTCCTTGAGGTGGGAGCAAGGTCTCACGGAACCCCTCCCCCCCTTCACCCGTGCGTTCCATCCCCCGCCTTTATTGCCAAGCTGCAAGCGAGGCAGAATGTAGTTGGAAGGGCGAGTCAGTCTTGACAATAGAGAGATAGGCGATAGATTTAATAAGGTTTATAATATGCCACGCAATCAGTGCTGACTCGCATAGGTTGGCCTTCTCTGGCTTTATGTATGACGACCTGTTGTGGTCTGTCACACAAATATTGGTTTGATACAGTTAGAGATTGCCCCGTTCCAGGTGACTTTGGGCCACGTAGGAGCAATTAAAGAAGAGACGGCTCATAAGCATTTACAATACAGACTCTGAATTGCAATAAAACCCACCCCGGCTCTAGAGTGTCATCGGGATGGGGGTCATACAGATCTCACGGTGTGTGTGTGTGTGTGTGTGTGTGTGTGTGTAGTGCTCCAGAGGGGAGGCAGGGCGACAGATGAGGCAACCCCCACAGCCCCAAGAGACGGCACTGCCTAACCGAAGGGACCTCAGGGGCTCCTCTCGGCCCAGCCTCCCTGCCTGGCAGAGGTCCTGGAAGAGAGGCCCTTCCCCAGGGAGCCCGTCTGGTGCCTGCCCCGCATTGCCCGCATTGCCCGCATGGCTGCATTCCAGAGCAACCGTAGTGCCGAGCGGCCTTCGCACAACCAGAAGGATAGGTGGATCCGCTCCGGTCTCTTTCAGCTGTGAGTCTCCAGCCAGCTTGGAAAAGAGCCCCCCTCTCTCGTTCCCCCGCCCCTCCATTTCCCCCGGCTCCCTCTCCCCCCGGGAGCCTCTTGGCCCTGTGCTCTCCCCACAGCGGGGATGTGACTGCTGGGCATGAGAATCCTGCTTACTGGTTTCCATTATTAACAGTGTCATGAAGGGGGCATTTAGACCAACTATCATCTGGTAGGAAGCCGTTGTTGATTTAATGAGTCTTTTTGTCATGGCTTCTCTCAGCCCCTCTCCAGGGGGTCCTGCTTGGCATCCTCAGCCCCACAAAGAAACCCCCCCCTCCCCGTCTGTTTCCAACCCTTCCGGTCAAAGTCCTGGGTCGGGGTCCCAGAAACTCAGCCCAGAGGGGCCACCCGGTCAGTGCCCCGAGGCTCCCGCAAGGCTGCAAAGGCTCCCCCTGGAGGGGGGTTTCTCTCCTCCCCCTGAAAGAAACACGGCATAGGCAGGTTGACTGGTCGCTTTGGTTTCTCTTCACTCCGTCTCTTCTTTTGGTTTTGTTTTAGAGCCCTGAGCATTCAAATCATTACTGGATTGGCCTAAAAAAATCAAGGAGCAGCTTCTTATGGGTTGATCGCAGCCCTGGCTTTGGGACTTCGGTGCGGTGAGTCGTGGCCTCCGAAAGAGCCCCTGGGAGGATCTGTGGCGGGACCAAGCCGCCTATTCCCACCACTCCAGTTTTCCACCGGTTCTGAGACGTAACCCCCCCCCTGGGGTGGCTGCCATTCCAGGTTGCCCCGTTGCCCATCCATCCCCCTTAGGGTCAGTGAGAGGCTTTGGCTTGACCCACTTGCTCCTCTTGCTCTGTGCTTTGGCTAAGGATGTCAGAGTGCGCTCAGCTTTACTACGTGAGACAACCCAGGAGCAATAAGAACATATACTATATATACACGTACTATACGCAGAGGTCAAACAAGCAGCAATCACTGCAGGGAAGGAGAGAGAGAGAGAGAGAGAGAGAGATGCCCTAACAGGGCCTGTACTTATTATACAGGTTCTTAAAGGGATAACAGCCAAAAACCTTGCTGACTCATTCCCATTATTGCAGCAGCTGGTCATCTCTTAAATCCCTACCTGGCTGACACTCCTCCCATTTCAAGCTGAACAATTGTCAATCCAAATGCTTTGACTTACTCTTGATGCTTGTCTGCATTTAAAGGCTTCCTTAACTATATTATGTTCAGTGGAACATTGCTGCAATCTTATCGGTATCCTTTACAGCACACACACATTTATACTCTTAAGTTTAGTTATATTAGTTATATTCATGGTTACCAATAATGACAGGGAAAAAAATCATTTTGTTGAGTGATGTTTATCAATAAAACTTATACCATCCACATAAGCTAACAGCAAACACTCTGCCCCATCACACTGTCCTGTGTATAAACATTGCTGTCCCTAAAACAACTTTCTGAGAACGGCATCCAAGCACTGATTCCAGTTTCTTGCTGACTGTTTCAATCCATATATGGCTTTATTTAATAATATATATCCAGGGTTCTCTGTTTCATAACCTGGAGCTTGAGCCATGTATATTTCTTCTTCTAATTCTGCATTTAAATATGCAGTAGAAATATCGAAGTGATAGATGGTATACCTGCATGCAGCTGTTAAAGCCATGCTAACCTTATGGTCTGACTTCTTACTGTTGGTGCAAACACTTTGTCATAATGAACATTTTTCCTTTGCGTAAATCCTTGCGCAACTGACCGTGCCTTATACTGCAGTTCATCGTTGTGTAACACCTCCTTTTTATATACCCATTTATACCTCACTGCCTTTTCCTCTTCTGGTGATCTCCTGGGGGTAAAATCCTGATGCACACTCATCGACTTCCTCCCATTTGCCCTATTCTACTCCTGGTAATGGTGGGGTTTATACTGAACTCTACATACTCTAACCCCGCTTGCTGAGAACCATTCGGGGGGTTACGCCTTTATCGCTTCTTTCAGATCTCCTCGGTATCATCTGTCCCTGCGGTTCTGTGACTTCTCCTTTTACCTCAGGTCTATTCTCTTCCGTATCTGCTCCTCCTGACCTGCTTCCCTGCTGCCCCCTTTATCGGGCTTCTGGATAGCTTCTTCTGGAGAACCAGTGCTATGCGTTGGCACGAACACCTCAGAATTAGCATGCACCCTATTCCAATGATTTAGCTCCGCAAAACTAGGAGCGTGTGAAATTACCGCCTTTCTGGTTCTATCTGTGAATCTAGAACCTTTGGAACCAGGCTCATATCCAACAAACCCAAGTTTCCTAGCCTTTTTCTGTCCTTTTCTTCTGGTGCCTTTGGGACTATGCACCCAGGCATGACTGCCAAATGTTCTTAGGTGACCCAATGAAGGTTTTCTTCTGTATAATAGGAAATAGGGAGTTTCATTTATAGCAATGCTCCATATTCTGTTCATTAAATAATTGGCTGTTTTTAAGGCTTCACCCCAGTACATTCCACCCATTCCCGCATCTGCCAGCAGTGAGTCTTTCATGATTTGCATTATGCCATTCCTTCTTTCAGATACTCCATTTTCTGTTGGCGAGTACAGATTCGTACGTCTATACCTTATGCCTAAACCGCTCAGCCATCTTTGGAAACCTATCAGACATGAACTCTGGTCCCCTGTCTGTTTGCAGTTGACATACTTCACAGCCATATCTACACTCTACAAATCTTACCCATTGCCTGAACTGTTGCAATACCTCTGTCTTGCTTTTTAGCAGGTAGCAAGACCCACCTCTCGTGTAATCATCCATTATGACCAGGCTCCTCCTAAAGAGGGTGCCATGGGGCCAATCAAATCAGCAGGTATTAACTGCAAGACTCTGTTTGCCCTGAGCTTCTTTTACTCACAGGGTGTACACCCTGGACTTCGACTCTTTACAAACAACCCCATTTAAGTCCATCTGGCATTTCTTTATCTTAAGTCCCTCAGCTAGTTCTGGCATCTTCTGCAGTCCTCTGAAATTTCTCCCACCTTTCCTTATGCTGTATTGTCCTCCAGCAAACAGTATTTCATGTCCCTGTCTATCTAAAGTTGAAATACTTAATAGCTTATGGTCTAATTCCGGTACGTACAATACGTTGTCTAATGCTTCCCTGACCTCAGGTACGTTGGCTTTAGCTTCCCATTTAACAGCAGACCATTGTCCATTAGCCAAACTGACAAATGTTTGCTTAGCTGGTCTCAACCCCAAAAAGGCTTGTGGGTCATTTGCAATATGCTGACTCGCCCCACTGTCAACAACCAAGCGTTTTCAGGCAATGTTGTTGTCAGGGGAAATGAGGATGAGGAAGGACCATCCTCATGGGTTGAGTAGCCCCACGCCCTTGTCTCGCTGCTCCTCGGTTTCTCCTCTCGGGGCAGCGCCTCTGGAGATGCTCTGTAGAACCACATGTGAAGCAATGTTTCACTGTGTAAATGGTCTCAGCTACTCCACTATCCTCTTGGGATGTTGCAGGTTTTAGCCCGGGCTGGTGGTGCGATTGTTTCTATGAGAAGGTGCTTCGTGCAGCGCAGCACTCAAAGGCCGCCCTCGGTACCAGCGCTGGTGAGGTGCAGCAATCCACTTTGCCACACAAATCCGCTGGGCTACAGGACAAGGGAATTTAGAGCAGGAAAGGGTGGGGGTGGGGGCGGGGGGGGGGGCGGCCAGAGGTGGTATTTGCCGGTTCTCCAAACCAGTCAAAATTTCCCCTACTGGCACGCCCGAACTGACCCGAATTGGCTGAGTACCATCTCTGGGAGGAGCCAGAATGAAAACATAATTGCCCCCCTTCCCAAGTCCAATCTGTACAATTAATACAAACACACACACACACACACATACACACACACACACCTTGTATAAAAAAAACATATTTTCTATCATTCTGGAAACAATTACAAATCCATTTCTGAAATTTTGCTTCCCCCCCCCAAAAAGAATCCGGATTCCGAGGCCCACTCTTGAGATGGCTGTGGACAATGACCCTCCCCCCCACAAGGGGAGCCTTCCTCTTCCCCAAAGGGCATCGTGAAATCACCCACCCCCCTGGCAGACTATGGCACAGCATCCTTCCTTAAGGCCTCTCCTTGTTTGGGGGCAGGAGGCCATCCGGCCGTGGGACCTCCTGGCTAACAAGGGACCTGCCTTGGGGAGGCACAGCAGCCCCCGGCCCCTGGCTGGCCTCCCCCACCTCCCAGCGGTGCCTGGAGGCTTTCTGCAGCCTGGGCCAGGCAGGTCCTTGGCGTGGGGGGGGGGGGCGGGGGGGGGGGGGGCGCGGGGGGGCGGGGGCGGGGGGGGGGGGCGGGGGGGGGGGGGGGGCAAGGGCGGCTTCTGCCCATGCCAGAGAGCAGAGGTCTGGAGCAGCCTCTCTCCTTGCTTTCCTTGTCCAAACTCTAGAGGATCATATTATAAGGAAGGCTGCGTGGAACTGCATGAGGGCGTTTTGAATTGGCGTCCCTGTTACGAGAAGAAGGAGTTTATCTGCGAGATCGTGGCCATGAAAGGCACAGGTGAGCCCCCCCCCCCCGGTGCTTTTGAGGGTCGGCCCCCCCCCCCCCCGTTCCCCAATTCCTCTCCCTTTAACAGAGCGAGGCGAGGGGGCTGTGTGGAATTGCACAGGGAGGGGCATCTGTGAGTCTGGTGGTCCCTTCCCAAACGGGAGGGAGGCCTCAGCTGGCGTGGCCCCTGGCCAGAGGTGAAGCCGACCGAACTCCCCTGCCAGGCAGCGGCCAGAAAGAGTCTCCCAAGGCCCAATTCCTGACAGCTGATGGAGAACAGAGTTAGATCTCAATCGGAGGGCAGGTTTGAAGGCTGGAGAAACCCAGCCAAGCTCCCTATTGGCTGCCCCCCCCAACATCTGAAAAAGCCAGTCGGCGTCTTTAGAGGGGGGGGGGGAAAGCGGGGGGGGGGGGGGGCGGGACAAGGAGGCGAACCCCCCCCCCCCTTTTTGCCTGTTCTTAAGTGGAGCCTCTGAAGCGGAGCCCTGATGAGCCCAGCCTGGCCTGTCCCACCCTTGGATTCTCTCCCCCCCCCCCCCGGCCAGCTAAAAGGGCCTCTGTGGGTGCTAAGAGGGAGCCAGGCACCATCCAGCTGGTCCCTGGGGTGTTTGGCTGCTGTGCGCAGGACCGAGGCCCTGGCTGGCACGTCCTGGCAGGTGGGCAGCCACCCCGACTGGAGAAACAAATACTAGCCATCATCGCCACATCAGGGAGCCGTGAATTGCCCGGGTTCCGTCTGGCAAGGAGGGCTTCCCTGCTCGGCCCAACTTCCAGCCAGCTTCACGGCTGGGCCTGATCCTGGCTTGGGGGGAGAGGAAAGGCCCATCTGCCCAGCTCTGCCACGCTATGCCCCCCTCCCCCATAACAGCCTTTCTCAAGCCAAGGAGCGCCTGGGCTTTCCTGCCCATCAGCTGCATTGCCCCCCCTCTAATGTCCAGAGCTGCCCCCCCCGGGGGCCCCGCCTCCCAGAGTATTGTGCCGTTTCCAGTCCCCTCCCCCGCAAGAGCTCCTAGCTTGGAACTCCCCAGGGGTGGGATTCAACTTTTTTAACAACCGGTTCTGTGGGCGTGGCTTAGTTGGTGGGCGTGGCTTGGTGGTCATGTTATTGGCTGGGTGTGGCCAACTCAACATCCCTCACATCGAGGCACGCATTTCCTCGCCTGGCCTCTCGTGACTGTGGGGATGCTGCAACAGTCGTAAGTGTGAAAAATGGTCATAAGTCACTTTTTTCAGTGCCATTGTAACTTTGAATGGTCCACTCCACACAAGCAAAGTACCAGCAAAGGAGGAGGAGAAAAACTCCAGAGAAGTTCCTGAGACAGGAAGTCTAGTCCTGCCAAGAACGTAATAAGGGTTAACAGAGAGGCAGTTTCTGTAAGCAACACCAGAATGTTTCCTTCCTGCCTTCCTTACAGGATTAGGCCAGTAATTTCTTCCAACAACGGGTTCTCCTAACTGCTTAGAATGTTAACAACCGGTTCTAGCGAATAGGTGAGAACCTGTAGAATCCCACCCTTGGAACTCCCCCTTTGCAGCTAGTCCTGGACTTATGACCACAGATGGACAGGGACTTTCATGGCTACGTGAAACAGTTCTTGAAGAAGCAGCACCCAATGTTATGACTGCTCTTGCTGTGGTCCTTTAGCGGATCCAGCTTCCCCATTGACTCTTCTTGTCGGAAGCCAGCTGGTAAGGCTGGTAAGGTCACAGGTGTGGATCATGTGACTCTGAGATGCTGCAACTGTTGTGACTCTGGGTTGGTTGCCAGGCGCCTGAATGTTGGTCATGAGACGGCATGGATTTTGTGACAGTCATAAGTGCGAGGATTGCTTGTAAGCCCCTTTTTCAGCACCCATTTAAGGTGGAATGGTCATTAAATGAACGGCTGCAAGTTGAGGACAACTTCTGCAGGGGTGTGTGTGTGTGTGTGTGTGTGTGTTCCCAGTGTGGACCACTTTGTGCTTAAGGAAAGCGAATAGGCTGAACCGCCTGGGTGAACCACGGACTCTACGAGGCCTCCATCATCGTCTATACAGCAACGACTCTCTTCCTTCCAGGGTGAAGTCGGCTTCTTCCCTCCTGCGGCTGCCTCGCTCTTGGCACTCTGCCAGCCTCCCAGCCTCCCTGACTCTTCCTGCGCCTCCTGTGGCCCCCGATCCTGTGGCTCCGGCACCGGGACGTCAAGCAGAGGCGACCCCCGTCCAAATGAGGCCCCTCCCCCAACTCCCCGGAAGGAGGGGCGCAGGGGGAAGCCCAGGAGGGAGGCATTGGCACTCTTGGCCAGGTGAGCCCCTCCCCGCCTGGACATCCCCTCCTGGCAGGATCCAGAGCGGTGGGCCTGGCCCTTGCCTGAGAGGGGAGCAGGCGCTCCCCTTCCCTTTTCAGGGGGCAGCAGAGAAGGGCCGGCGATCCAGGTAGGGTCTCCCCCAGGCCGTCTTGCAACCTGTCTCTGCTCAGAGGTGCAGGGAGGGGGCCAGTGGTGGGTTTCAAATGTTTTTACTACTGCTTCTGTGGGCGTGGCTTGGTGGGTGTGTCTTGGTGGGTGTGGCAGGGAAAAGATACTGCAAAATCCCCCTTCCCTCCCCACCCCACTAGCCTGCTTTCCAGCTCCGTTCTCCTGTGCAGGGCAACCAAAGGAGACCCAGCCGATCAGCTGGGACTCGATGGGAGGCGGAGAAGAGATGGGGTTGGTGGGGCCAGTCAGAGGCGGGATTGGCCGGTTCTCCGAACCACCCAAAATTTCCGCTATGCGTTCTCCAGAACTGGTCAGAACCGCTTATGAACTGGGAGGGCAATAATTTAACCCCCAAGCCAGCAAACCCCCCCCCCCCCGGCTTCCCCAAGGAAAGAGAACTTTGCACGGCCATCAACTGTTGGTGTAGCTGGGGGAGGCCTTGGACGGTTGCACTGCGCTCTATGTGTGTGAGTGGGGGGGGGGCTACCCCTGAAATGTCCGGTGCAAAACAAGGCTGGGGGGGCAGCCCTGCCTGACCAAAGAACAGCCCATGTCCCACCTTGGCAACACAAGCTGCGCTGGGTTCCAATTCAAGGTGTTGGGGGGGGACCTATCAAGCCCCCCACGGCTGGGGTCACGTTACCTAGGAAACCGTCTGCTGGATCAGCCTGTCCCACCTGGTCAGGCAAGGAAGATGCGTTGCAGACCCCACCAGTCAAGGAATTGCAACTGGGGGGTTCAGGAAGGGAGCCTTCTCTGCTACCCCCCCCCCATTGGAAGATTCGCTCACCGGGAGATGAGGCAGCCCCCCACCCCACCCCCGGCCTTTCCCCTAAAGGCCCCAAACATGGCTCTGCAGCCGGCAAGCCCCTCCCCTGGCTTTTAATCAATGTTCCACACTGCTTTTTAATTCATCCTTGTCTTTCTAAGTTTCATACACTGTTTTCACACTGTGATGTTTTATCTGTACGCATCCTAAAGTTCTTCTGTGAGGGAGGTTTTAAAATTCAATAAACACGTAAAATTAAATTTGGCTCTTTGCCAAAGACTTCTCCGAGGTCAAGAAGGGAGCTGAGAGGCTGGTCGCCATCTGGAAGTAGGACGGAGACCTGGGCAAAGGCCCAGCCTGGCCTGGAGGAGGAAGGCTTCCAAGAGAAACGAACACCTTTATCCAATCCCTAGATAACCAAATGAATTTATTGGAAAGGGGTGTGGAAAGGGGGTGTGGAGAATAGGGGAAGCAACAAATACGCCAACCTTCATGCAAGCAGGCTCCCTAATCGGCTATGAATTTCTAGAGTCTGAAAGAGACTTTGGACTCACTCAGCAGAAACCCAGAACTTGTGGCAGAGGGAGGATACCTGGGGAGGCACCTGGGCCTCCTCTTTGAACGTTGGCAGGTGGAGCCTTCCTTGCTTGATTTTATATGGAAGAGAATCATGGACAGCCGGCCTCTTTGGCAAGGCTGAAGGTTGCTGATGCCCTGTCAGCCATTAACAGTGATCTGCCAGCTAAGCCCACCTTCCCAAAGACCCCCCTGGAAGGAGGAAGCCGCAGTCCGGTCTCCAGCCTTTGGGCCGCCGGGTGAATGGCCTTATGGCAGAGTCTTTCTTCAGAAGCAAAAAATGAACCCTGTTTCTTGGGGTCTCCCAGGATGCAGTGGTGGGATTCAATTTTTTTTACTCCTGGTTCTGTGAGTATGGCTTGGTGGGCGTGGCAGGGGAAGGATACTGGAAAATCCCCCTTCCCTCCCCACCCCCCTAACCTGCTTTCCAGTTCCCTTCTCCTATGCAGGGCAACCAAAGGAGAGCCAGCCGAGGTGGGGTTGGCAGGGCCAGTCAGAGGCGGGATTGGCCGGTTCTCCCAACTATCCAAAATTTCTGCTACGGGTTCTCCAGAACTGGTCACAACCTTCTGAAGACCACCTCTGCCAGGGTGAGAACGCATCCACCTGGGGTGGTTCAGGTGTCAGAAATCAGGGAGTTGCAGGCTGGCCTGGTTTTGGTCACCACACCACAAAAAGTTGTTGACACTTTGGAAAAACGTTCTGAGAAGAGCAACTTGAGATGATTAAAGAGACTAAAACCTATGAAGAACGGCTGCAGGATTTGGGTTTGGCCAGTCTAGGCAAAAGAAGGGCTGGGGGGGGGGGGACAGGAGAGCAGCCTTCCAGTGTCTGAGGGGCTGCCCCAAAGAAGAGGAGGGGGTCCAGCTCTTCTCCAAAGACACCCGGAGGCAGGACAGGGAACTAGCCAGGAGAGAAGCAACCTGGGAGGAAGGAAGGCGAACCTTGTCTGCAATGCCACGTTGGGGCTCTGAAGAGACCGGCTTGGGCCCATCAGCCTGGCATGCTAAGGCAGCCCGATTGCAGGGAAGGAGAGGTCGATTAGGCCAAGTTAAACTGCCGGGAATGCCGGTGGGACCTCCTGGCTCTTGTCAGGGACCCCCCCCCCCCGAGGGTTTTCCCCAGCCGTGGCTGCTCCCCCAATGCGCCCTCTAGGCTCCCCCTCCCCCACGTTGTCCTCGCAGCCAGCAAAAGCCCCGGCTGGACCGCAGGCGGCTTCTCTCTCTCCCTGGGTTGACCCCCCTCCCTCTTTGGGATCGTTGGCAACTTTGAAAGGCAGCCCCTCCGCCCCCTCCTGACAAGAGGGACCCCCGCAGGACCCCCGTGGTTTCAGCCCTTTGCGGTTTCAGCCCCTGCGCGTCCTCCCTCTCCCGTCAAAGCGCCTCAAATGCTCTTCCTTCTGGCCACCCTTCGCCTCCCTTCAGCAGCCGTGATTGCCCGGCCTTCTTTGGTCCTGTTTCACAACACCCGGAGTGAGGCTCTTTGCAGGCCCGCAGCTCCTTTCTTCTCGGGGGCTCCCAACAAGCCCAACGGAGCGCAGCAGGAAGCGCACCCCCTTAGATGCGCCAGAGGGATGCCCCCCTGTGAGCCAGAGCCCTTCGACTTATATGCTGCTTCCCAGGGCTTGACAGCCCTCTCTAAGCGGTTTACAAATACGGCCCCCAACAATCCGCGTCCTCATTTGACCCACCTTGGAAGGAGGGAAGGCTGAGTGAACCTGGGGCCTGGATGAATCTGCCAAATCGCAGGCAGCCGGCAGGAGTAGGGCTTGCAGTGCTGTACTCTAACCACTGTGCGTCAGCACAGCTCTTTTCCTTCTACGCGGCTGAACAAGCCGTGATGTCTCAGACAACCCTGGTTGGGCCTCCTTTCCCTGCCTGTGAGAGTCAAGGCAACATTCTGGCACATCACTAGGAGCCTGCCCTCAAATTACGGTGCTTCTGCCCTCTGCCAAGCACACGAGGGGGTCCAGGGGGGCTTTGGGTGGGACCAGGGCAGGCGAAGGCAGGGGAGCCGCTCTCTTCCAGGGGGGCTAGAGGGAAACGCAGCATCCGGGGAGAATCGCCCAAAGGCCTTCCCAGACTTGCCCCCCACCCCCCGCCCTCGTGCTCCTGGGGGACCCACAACGGACGCCTCCGGTTGTGCAACGCTCAAGGTATCAGCCTTGCCTTCCCCAAAGGGCTCCAGGCATTCCCATGGGAAAAGGAGGAAGCCCCTTTGGCCCCACGGAGCCCCCCCCCCCACCGGCCCCACACCCTGTGGGGGGGGGGAATTTCCTTCAGGCTATCAAGGTCGGATTCTGCATGGATGCTGGAGACCCTCGTTCCGTCACCTGGGGGGGAGGGGCGGGGGGCGGAGGTATTCCGACTTCTCCCTGAAATATATATATTCAAGTTTTTGCGGCTGTTGTTTTCATTAACGCATTTGGAAATATTACCAGAAAATGATCCGTGCACTAAATTAAATTGTTGGCCGTGTACACATGCTTCTCGTATCCCAGATATTTTCCTCCCATATAATTCCTTTCCGTTCTTTGCTCCCCTTTAGGTCCCCCAGTTGCTTGTCACCCAAAAGAAAGCCCACTTTCCCAGGTCGTGGCTCCCTCCCTTTGGGGTTTTCTGGAGCCGTCTCCCACCCTGAAACCCGGAGAATCCAGGCCAAAACAGCCTCGATGGGCTTTGGGGCAGAGCCACCGACCAGGGACAATGCTGCCCCTCCCCCGGTGGGACTTCCCCAATTCTCGTCTTCTCAGCAGAGACCACTCAGGACGGGACGGGCAACTGTCATCAGGTTTTATTTTTTTCAACACATTAAATAAGCTGAATATATTAACAAGTATTTTCCAAGTATTATTAAAAACGCAGCTGCCTTCTCCCCCGCCCCCCAGTGCCGGAGAGGGCCAGGCGGAGCCACCCTGGACCAGCCCTGCGCAGGGCAGGAGAGGAGGGGGGCGCCAGCAGTTTATCTGGACCCCCTCCCTGCCCCATCCCTCCGACACATCCCACGGGCCCTGTACCCCAGGTGTGCCGGGGCCCCCAGCAGGCAGAATGACCTGGGCCTACCCTTGCCAGCCTCCTACGGGGCCCCCAGCCCGAATTCCCTTCGCCCCAGCCCTGCGTCTTCCTGCCGTTCTGCTTCTCTGCACCCACCCACGGCCAAGAGGTTGGGGAGCCCAGGGCTTGCCCCTCGCGACTGCAACGGGGCCAGGCAGGGGTGGGCAAAAGCAAGACTCCCATCGCCCGAGACCGGGCTGTGGACTGGCGGCTCCCTCCTGCCTCCCCGTGGGCTGGGCAGCCCTCCCTGCAACATCGGAGCAGTCTGGCCCAATGGTGTCGTGCCGCTCCTCGGCATCCAGGATGTCCAGGCGGAGGCGGGGTGCTCCTCGACCGCAGGGCCAGCCTCAGGACTGGGCTCCTGGCAACTTGAGGCTGGGTTCCGCCAGGCCCAGCGCCAGGCCCTTGCAGTGCTGGGGGTGCCTCTCCGGGCACTGCAGGCTCTTGGCCTCGCAGTTCAGGTTCTGGTAGCGAGGGGTGCTGGTGGCCGGCCGGTGGCAGACGGAAGCAAAGCTGAAGCTGAAGGGCCCCAGGCAGCAGGCAGGGCAGGCCAGCACCTCATCCTGTTCCAGCACGCAGCTGCTGCTGGAGGGGCTCAGGGGCAGCGCCGTCCCCGGGTGCTCCGTCTGTGCCCCCTCCACCATGGGAGGCACGCTCAGCTCGGAGAAGCCCCTGCCCCAGCCGAGCGGCTTGCTGTTGTTGTTCAGGAGCAGCCCGTTGGGGGACCACGGCCGGGGCGCCGACACAGCCGTGCTGATGAAGCTGCCGTTGGTCAAGGGGGCCGCCGGGCTGTCCGGACTGCAGTCCATCTGCTCGCTGGCAGGGGGGCTGGGGGGTTCTGGCGGGGTGCGGTCCAGGGCCAAGAGGGGGCTGTGGGGCGGCTGCTCCCGGCGAGGCAGCTCCGGGGAGGACGGCAGCGAGCGACACCTGCGCATGATGGCCACGGGCTCGGCAAAGTTGCACTGCATCTCCACGGCCGGCTCCGGCGTGATGGGGGTGCCCGGTGGAAGAGGCGAGGGGGGGGGCAGGTTGAAGGTCAGGGAGATCAGGGACTTGCTGGGGGTGTCGAAGAGCTTGATCCTGCCCCCCTGGAGGTCCTGGCGCTGGGAAAAGGGGTTGACGCGCTGCGGAGTGTCGTGGGCACGGGGCAAAGCGGGAGACCGAGGGCGGAATACATCTGACTGGCTGCGGGAGAGGGGCTGCTCCGGGGTCAAGAGCCGTTGTCCAAGCAGGCCAGGTGGGGTGTTGGGGAAGGAGAGCTGTTTGGCCGCTTGACCTGGGTGCAATAAGGAAGGAAGGGGGGGAGGCGTGTTAGAGGCATCCCAGGATGGCATCGCAGAGTGTCCTGCGCTCTGCAAAGGCCAAATCTAGGCCGGGAAACAGCTCAGCTGCAATGGTTCCAAAAGGCTGGGCAGGGACTGCCCTGGCATACGAGGGGGGCACATTCCTCCCCTCCCCTCCCCTCCCCTCCCCTGGAGGCTCAGAGGCCCAGGAGGAAAGCCCTCCTGTGCCCCCAACTCAAGCCAAGTGTGCAGTGCCTTCCAAGGCTGCCCCTTTCCCTCCAGCCCACCTTCGCCCCTTCCGGCACCCAAGACGGTTCCTGGAATCTCCACCCTAAAAAAGCAAGAACCCAACCATGCCATCCATACTCCCTCTCTGGCACTTGCCCACCCCCTCCCTGCACCGCAACCCCTGTCCTGAGAGCGGCTACCCTTCAGCGCGGCGGCCGCCGAGTTGCCTGGGAGGGCCGTCCCGCCGTCGCTGTTGGGCAGGGCCTGGCCGGGGCCTCCGGCCATCAGCAGCAGCATCGCCTCCAGGCGCTGGACGATCTCCAGGAAGGAGGGCCGGGCCGTGGGCTCCATCTGGGGGCAGGAGAAGGAAGCACAGGGGAGGCTCGTCTCTTTTGGGTCGAACGGAAGCTGCAGGCCCAGGTGAGGGCAGTGGGCAAGCAGCCTGTGTGTCTCTGGGGCCCCCCTGGACTTCCAGCACCAGCTCCCTGTCCGGCCTTACCCCGTGGAGCAGAGGAAGCCCTCCGGGGGGGGGGGGGCAGGCCCCCATCCACCCCCCCCGCCGCCCCAGGGCAGAATCCAGGAAGGCAGGCGGGCCCTCCAAGCAGGCTGCTTGCTGTGGCCCTGCAGCCCAAGTGGGGACGCCCAGAGCTCCTGCGAGGATGCTCCCCCCCCCGCCAAAGGGGCAGCTGTGGCTCTTCTCCTAGCCCGGCTCCAGCACCTGCCCCCTTCCTTGTGGGGAGGGGGCGCCAGGACCCACCGTGCAGCAGTGGAAGGCCAGCTGGAGAAAAGCCGCCGGACAGTCGGCTCCCACCAGGTTGCAGAAGGCGGCCACGTCGAGGCCGAAGTCCTGAGGAGAGGAAAGGTGAAGGGGGGAGGGGCCGGGGAAGATGCCCCCCCCCAAAAGAAGCGCTCTGGGAAGCAGAAGGAAGCCAGCTGCCTGGACTCACCCAATTGCAGCCACGCTCACCCGCACACACCCGAATTCAAGAGGAAAAGCCTTTCCCACTCCAGCCCCCTCCCTCCCCCCAATACGCAGGGCTTCCCCGGGAGGCTGTTGGTGGCTCCCAATGGTTCGCTTACGGGCTGGAGGGGCAGGGAGGGCAGAGCCCCGGGTTATACGCTGCTAGCAGGTTGGCAGCAACGTGGTCCCAAATGGAAGAGGGTCACCCAGAGGGCATCAGCCGTACCCTGCCTGTCCCCCAGGACTCTGTCCCGAAGACCCAGGCGTCTCAATGGGGGAAGCCGGGCTCAAGATGCCTCCGGGATACGGCCTGGCACGCAAGCAGTCCGGAAGAAGTGCTGGGAGGGCAGCCTGAGGGCCTGGGGGGCTCTTAAAAGAAACCCTCCGGCCATTTCAGCATCACGGCCGACTTCTGGCTTTCCGGAATCATCCGGTGGCTTTTAGCGCTTTGGGAGGCAACCGGCACAAAGAGCGGGAGGTAAAGCGCAGCTTGGCAGCCAATGCCGCCCCTGCCAGCCAAGCTCCATGCCGGGAACAATGACCCCCGTCTCCGTCCCTAGAGGCCTTTGCAGAGTCAGCCCCTCTCCCCACTGCCCCGTGGCCAGCAGGCTGGTCTCGACAGGCGCACTGGGTTCCAATGGTGCGCTCATTCCATCAGCCCACCCCATCCACCCAGCCGCGCACTGCTGGAACAAGCCGTGTCCCACGGGTGGCTCAGGCAAAAGTGGTGGGAAACTAGCCAGGGGGCAAAACTGGTGAGGCTTCCTAGGACTGTGGACACCAAGGGAGCCAAATGGGCTCTGGTTCACACCGGCACCTCCGCCCCCTCCTTGAACTCTGATCCCTGCCAGGGACCGAGTGGAGAGAGGAGCCCGCTAGAGCTCAGCCCCCTCTCTTCCGTGCCCAGACTCTGAGCAGTGCCCCCTGCCCGCTTTGGGCACTGGAGCCCCCGCTTCAAGCTCTCCCCGAGGGGCCCGGCTGCCTCCCCTCTTGCTGGGGCGGCCGAGGCACGCGGGGGGGGGGCTTACCTCAGTGCGAGGCAGGTAGTCGGGGTCGGCCGGCACCCGCGCGATGGTCTCACAGAGGATGATGCCGTAGGCAAAGATGTCCGCCTGCGGGAGACACAGTGGGGGAAGGTCTGGGGGCAGCCCTGGAGCAGGGGGGGCAGGGAGGGGGCAAGCAGGCGCCCTCCTCCCCCCTGCAGTCCCCCCCTCCCATTGTTACTCCTCCTCCTCCTCCTCCTCCTCCTCGTGTGGCTCACCTTCTCGTTGTACAGCTCCCCGTGCAGGACCTCGGGGGCCATCCAGTAGGGGGAGCCCACCACAGCCAGGGGCTCCTTCTCACCGCCCTCACTGCAAGGGGGAGGAGAGCCTGTGTAAAGGCCGGGCCACGGTGGGGGGAGAGCTGGGGGGAGGGGTGTCAACAGAAGCAGCAGCCTCCTGGCTCACCTGTAGGTGGGGATCTTCTCTGCCAGGCCAAAGTCGCCCACCACGGCTGTGTAGCCGTTGTCCTCACACCTGACCAGGCAGTTCTGGGTGGGGGGGAAAGGAGGGGGACATTTGAGAGGCCGTCCCAGGTAAAAGGCAGCTCCCAGGATGGGGCATCTCTGACCAGACAACCTTCCTCCCCCCAGGGAATAAGGAGGGGGTGGGGGGGGGGGACACCAGAGGGCCAAGGGACTCTGCTAGCCCTTCCCTGGGCCCTAGAAAGGGGGTACGGGGCTGGCGAGGGGCCCCACAGCAGGAGCCTCTCCTTCTGCAGCCCCTCTTTCCAGGGAAGGCCCCTCCCCCAACCAGCGCCCCCCCCCC